CGGAAAAGTGATGGCTTAAAATTATGTACGGGAGATATTTCCAAAGATGAAATAATAGGCGTGTTATTTTCCAGATACAGTGGAAAACTGGCTTAAGAATTTGTTGCCAATATGCATAGAGAAGTTCCTTAACAATTGGGTTTACACACGACAATCATGAAAAGTAATGGGTTGAAAGAAAACAGATGTAAAATTATTTTCGGCAGCGATAAAGAAAGTAGATATCGAGGAACGTGAGATCAGGCCACGCCCGCCGGTAAGACCCATACTAGAAAGATGCGCTTCCGCTAGCGGCCCTCAGAGAGCGGCCAGGTATATTAATAATAATGCTGGTGGCAGCAGAGCAATATCAAACGAGGAATTTTTCAGAGAAATAGTCTTTGTCTCTAATGGTTCTCCCAAGCCCTATACCCTCTCAGCAAAATATTAAGAAATTTGGGAATGGGATATGAAATCGCCAAAATCCCCAAATGCTCATTTATAATCAGTTCTACATGGACGACCCCAGCCAGAGATAGGAGCTTACCTCTTTGCTTCAACGTATAAAGTCCTTCAACAACTCTATTTGTATGTAGTTTGGCTACAGTACTCGTGAAAGAAAGAAAAATTCTTGATCCTGGCAAACGCAGTTTGATGTGTGGCACAAATATCCAAGAACTTCGGCAAGAGGATACCAGTACATATTTAGTCCAGCGTCAACTTTTGAACACAAGTAAAGCAAAGATGAGGTGTAATATTCAGAATAAAATCTTGCATAGTCAGAGAAATCTGTAAAACTTCTTTAAGCGGAAAGAATCTCATATTAGCCATCATCATTTGGGCTGTGGCTATATGTACTGTTGGACAAAATAATATGCACATCATACAGTTTTATAATTCATCTTATTACATATTATCTTATTCTTTTATTTTATCTTCATTTATTTTATCTTATTATCTTTTATTTTATTATCATGAAAGTGGGCAAATCGTTGTTGCGTGGTTAGCGGGCGCATTTGTGACGAAAATAGCTGAACTTTTTAACATTTCACCAACGATAAAGCCCACGGTAATGTCAGCATACACAAAACATGGTAAACCATTATCTGCAAAGAGGAATAGTGGGGCAAAAACCGAAGTTAACTGTCAGAGACAACGGACATTAAAGAATTGTGTCCAGACAATATAAAACTATCGCGGCAAAAATGATTGCAGAACTCAACAATCACTTCAGTAACACTGTTTCCACAAAAACAGTAGAGCGGGTTCTTAACAAGGCTAACATTTATGGGAGGACTGAAATTGCGAAAACCGTCATAACGGAAGCCCATGCAAAGCTTCGAAAGATGTGCCACGATTCTAAAATCTGAACAGTTGGTGACTGGTAGAATGTGATATGGTCCGATGAATCACCATTTACATTATTTCGTACCAAGAGCCGGATTTATAGAACACAAATATTTATTTCTTAATCTAATATATACATTTATACATACATATATACATATCAGTTGCCGTCTGGCTTAGTGAAAAATTCTTACTTCTATGAGTATTATACATATATACATATATTTTTTATAATACATAAATCTATTCATCTGAATGTGCCTCGAGATCTACGCAGGGACTCCAGCTTGTCGTCTGGTGTTGCAGATCTTTTCTGTTGTTCCGCAGCTAGCTTCCTGTGGCATGGGGTGGAGGAGGGCGCCTCTGCGGACTCTGTCCCGCGCTATCTGTTTGTACTCACGCGGGGCCAGGTGTATATTGTCGGTGTGCGTGTAGTAGCATGCCGCACTGTCATCAATGGTCTCAGTGACTATTTTTTCCCTTAAAGCTTTTATTTTGAGGCCATCCGCAACTTTCTTTAGTGCGGCGTCACTACCCGCACACCATTCTCCCAGTGCCCCTATCACGAGCGGGAGTACTTCGGCGCCGGTAATGAAGTGGGCGCGGGTGGCTTCGTATTTTTCGCGCTTCTCTTCTAATTTCTTCTCAAGTTTGCCTTCTCGTGTGTCAGCCACCGCGAAGTCTACCACGAGTGCCATTCTGCCCCGCGCGAGTACGAGATCAGGGCGACTGCTGCCCACCACTGCCTGATTCTCCCGGAGCACCTGCCACCCCGCTGCAATGGCTGCTTCTGTATAAATGATCCGATGTTGTTGTGTCGGGCGTTCCATAAAGGTGACAGGTAGCGGCACCCCGTGGTAACGTGACCAATGTTCTCGGTTGCTGGTTGCCGGTTGTTCCACGTACATTTCATTCTACAACTTTTGGTCACGTTACCTGGGCAGCAGTTGAGAGCTGGTGAGGAGTTGATCCTGGCCGGAAAAAGAAACTTATAGGTGGGAATTTTCATGTTCCTGCCAGACAGGAGAGGGAGTGCTAGGGGTCGCTCCTCGCGGCTCCGCTATGCTGCGCCCAGTCGGGCCCAGCGGGGGTTTCGTCCGTTCGTACGCAGGTAGGGGGAAGGTGTGGGGAAGTGTGATGTCAGGAGTGTGGGTGTTCCCTATTGCTGTGAAATTCCATTCTAATGGAGAACCCTAAAACAATCCTACGATCAGACTTGCTTGCTTCCTGTAGTCAAGTATGGGGAGGTTCCGTTATGATTTGGGCGGCTTTATCGTGGAGTTCAGCTGGACCTCTCATTACCATCACTGGTCGGATTACTGCTAATAAATATCTCGTCATACTCATCAATGATGTTCTTACAATGACCAGCGTATTGTTGCCAAACACGGCCATATTTCAAAACGAAAATACAACAAAAAAGGTTCAGGTGTGGTCTGCGGAGCATGAGATTATCATGAAACATTTTCCTTAGCTAGCACAATTGCCAGAACTCAACATAGTTTAATCGTTATGGGGCGTGTCAGAGCAGAAAGTGAGGAGTTGATTTCCTGCTCCTGCTTCGTTGAAGCAACTAGCGGGTGTTTTGGTAAAAAGAATAAGAGAACATTCCGTTAAAATCTGTTCAGACACTCTACAAATCTATTCCGCTATCAATACTAGCTGATCTGAATGCAAATGGTGGCCAAACATCTTATAATAAATAAATATTTTGTATATGCCAAGTGTTCATAATAATATGTAATATATAGTGATAATATATGAATATATAATATTCATAATATGAACTTCATATTACTTTGCCCAACCCCTGTACATTTGGCGTTCTTCACGGGACAACAACTGCACTGCAGAAGTTAATCAAAAAGTTAGAACCACTCTAACCATGTACTGCATGCACCATTTCAACAGTTCAATGGCAAGACTATATTTACCTCGGAACGAAGGAGGAAGAGGTCTTCTAGATTTTGATGCCTACTACGCGAAACAAATCAACAATTTTCACAAATACGTCTTTCAAAAACGACGACTCTGCATGAAGCAATTTGTGTAATGGATATGAATTTTACCCCTTTGAATCTGAATCAAGCGGACTTCCAGAGACGAGGTATCACCAAAGAAGATAGGCTGAGTGAGTGGACCCATGAGCGTTTACATGCTAGGTTTCCTACTGAGCCCAAAGGGAACTCTGTGAACATAGTCCCATGGCTAACAAAGTCTGACCTCTTTACTGAGAGGGATGACTTCATTATTCATCTTTATCAAGACGAAGTAACCTCCACTCGCAATTACCAAAGATATGTAATTGGTTATATGAGTGTACGGGACCATTGTCGCCTTTGCAATCAACCCGGCGAAACCTTCCAACACGTAATAGGTGGGCGTTCTGCTTTGGCACAAGCAGAATATCTGAGTCGGCACTACGACGTTGCTGCGGTTGTCCATCAGGCCGAGATTTGAAGTCAGAGATGATACGGAAAGAGGTCCCACACTACAAGTCCAAGTCGAATTCAGTTTTGGGGACGGAACGCTGGCAGCTCGTGTGGAACATTGAAGTCACCACAGATCGCAGGGTCGAGTCATATATAGCCAAGAAGCGGAAATATTAGGTATTGACTATTGAACCGAGCGACATATAGCGCTTGGTATCTCTTGATATACAAGTAGTGGTATACTTGGTATCTCTTGTAGTTCCTGTAGTCATCTCTGCAAATGGGCTGATCTCTTCGTCTGCAAGGCTTTTACTTACAAACTGGCACATTCAGACAATGTAAAAATTTGTCCCGAGCACTGTATGCATCACGAGGAAAGTTTTAATGACTGCAACATGTTGAATCCTGATCACCCCTGTTTGCAAGTGAAGGGCCTTGTTTCCCAAAAGGTCCTGAACCTGGTGAGGAGCACCGCGCTAGGCGAGAAAAATAGTAATAGTAGTAGTAATAATAATAATAATAATAATAGTAATAGTAATAATAATAATAATAGTAATAATAATAATAATAATAATAATAATAATAATAATAATAATAATAATAATAATAATAATAATAATAATAATAATAATAATATAATTTTGTCCATCCTGGTAGCCGAGATCGGTAAGGTGTGTGGGACCGAAGAATCGCGGATGCGAGTCCTACCTCGGACATGGTTGTGTCTGTATGTTCGTGACTGTCTATTTCATCTTTTATCTTTATTATCATTTCACCTCAACACCCAGGACTAACATCTCTGAGCGTAAGAACGTATTCAGCATGAAAATTCTGATCTCCTTCATAAAAAAATCACACGTAGCTATTCTCGATAAATATGACTGAGCCCCAGTGAGTTCAGGAGATGGCCAATTCGCGTCAAAAGAGGTTTTTCAATACAATTTTGAAGTAGGTAATATGATTATTAGATCTCTAATGATACAATTGAAAACATGATCCTCTATTCTTCACGTCTGTGGCAAAGATTGATAGTATTCGTATTTTTACATTTACTTTTCTATCAAATTCTTTTTTATTTATTTTATTTCCACTGTATTCGTGTCGATACTTGTAACCTATGTTCTGTGCTCTTCACTAGCTGATACATTTTGTGTTTTCTCTATTTCCTCATATGAATGTAGTTATATTGTTTTCTCTTTTGAATCCTACAAATAGTAAATATAAAGAATTTGTATGTTTCAGACTGTATGAAGTGCTGGAGACGTACAGTCGCATCCATCTTGTTCTAGAATACGCTGGAGGAGGTGAATTATTTAATAAAATAACATCAGCTGGAAGATTTACAGAATCTGAAGCACGCTCAATATTCTCACAGATTACATCTGCAGTCAAATACATGGTAATGTAAATCGTCTAATTGTTACAAAAAATGAATATTTGGCACTCGTGATATTACTGTGACTTGTTTGAATTAATAATTAGTTTAATAATAATTATTATTAATAATAAGAAGAAAAAGAATTAATAATTATTTTATTGTAACTGATTCTTAGTACCACGTAACTGGCCTGTCTTCCCCAATATCCAACTCTGCCTAGCCAATACCAATAACTTTTAGGTTTAATGACATATTTAGTTATAGTACTTCTTATTAAAGAAGTATTATAATCATGCCCCGGAAAAGGTGAATTTTCGACAGAAAAACTTATTGCTGGACCCTGGAACGAAAAAGTGGATAAATCTTGTTCCTATATGTAATAAATTAATTCCTCAAACACGTGTAATAAGTCAAAGATACCACGAAAATCGTGTAGGCGATTTTCTCCAAAATTGTTATCCCTTGATCAGTTTAAAGGAACTCGAGTCTCTCTGAGTTTGAAAACGATATTTTGATTTCGGGGGGTACTTTGCATGAAGCGTCAACATTTTCAAGTTTTTTCAAATATGATTCCAAATTTTTAAATTAAACTTTTTCCTTCGATAGCGTAAAGGATACTTAAGAGAATGGTGCAGGTTTCATTTTTGTTGAAATGCCTTATTTTTCGAAACTTGCTCTTGTGTTTTCTGAGTCTCCTTACAACGACAATATTGAAAATATTGATTTATCCAAAAGTAATCTCTCCTTTATGGACGTATTGAAATAAAGTTATGTGCAATTTTTGAAAATGTGAGTAGATATCGCGCAATTTTACGAGAAATGTAGGTCCTTTTAAAGGGTATCCCCGGATAATATGGTAAAAAGTTCCCCTAAACCAAGTGACATATGAGTAGTCACACTACTCATATGGCTGTTCGTTAGACGCCGCGTCCTAGAAACCTACGACCTTCCCCCAGCAGGTCACAGAATGGGGGCTGAAACGCTGGCACCAGCGCCTAGGACGCGGCCGAGTGGTTACTGTCTGGAAGTGTTTTATTGTGTTGTGAAAAAAGTTGAAAAAGTTGTGTGAGAATCGATTCTTGTATACGTATAAATACGACCTTAAAATAAATATAATTCCATAAGTATATACAATACAGACAAGTGCGAAAACCCAGCGCTTGTAAATAATAGTAGTAAGAAAACTGAAAATTGATTTCAAGTAGCACCCAATTGAGAACGTCCGTCCCCAGAAATGTGTGTTACAGGATTATAGGCTCGGTACTGTTCGACGGAAATCATTCCAATATTGCTGAGCGTTGAGATTGAAATGCACGAAAAATAAAAATATCCCATTCATTTACCGTGACAAATAATTCCAGTATTTTCCTTCAAATTAAATTCACACTGATTTCAGCTTCTGTTCTTTTCTGTCGGCCTATGTCTCCATGGCAGACGCCAGCCGAGTTTATAAGACCTAGGTCGCTTCGCTTGTGAGATCTTTGCAATCATATGTATTGTTTTTGTTGAATTATATGTAATTTTTTTGTGTGTCTTAATCTGCAAACTTCTATTTTTCTTCTAAAATCTATTCGATGTAGTACGAAGATGTATTTGTGTATCCGCCAGTATCGCACAGGGTTTTGTGTAGATGGTTTCTTACAAACTGACAAAACCATCGTCTTTCCTTAGGGTATGATACATTAAGGATTAGAAAGCTCTAAAAACAAGGGTGAGTATTGTTAGGAAGCAAAGAAAGCATTGCTTCATCTTTAATTTCTGACAAAAAAAATGTTCAAGCTGAATTCCAAAACTAAAAATACTTCGATGCGAAAGCGAATACTCTTGTTTTCCATCGCGAATTTTTGTACTTAGTCTTTTTTCTTGACGACAGACGTCAGAACTAGTCGGAAATCAATTGCTCATCGCTGCGCCCATCAGTGCAGCACAAAGGAACCACTGACAGGGAGCTGGTATCACCCGCCCTCAAGCCTCCACAAGGGATACTGTGAAAGAACGTGAGGGGACCCGGTGTATAGCAGTTGTGTGTTTTGAATTGATGGAGTGTAGTAGGTTTTAAAAAAACCTTTTAAAAGTATGTTGGTATTTTGTGTGTGCGTCCTATACTACTTCTACATTATACACTGTATTTCTAAAAGGGCGTTTCGTTGAAGAACAAACAGAGAGAACGATTGAAAAGTTCGCGCGTTGAAAATGAATTTGGAAGCAATGATTTCGCAGCGTACGGAAGCAACGCCTGGGAACTGATCTTCGTCGCCAGAGTGGTGCAGCGTATGTATGATCCTAAGTAACGTATTTTCTTCGTTTAGTTGGGCATCAAAAGAGCAAATTATTGTTATAGGTAAACCAACACCATCTCTACGATTTTTAACGATTGCAAATAAAATATTCACGTGACATTTCAATGTTGAATTGTATCGTAGCATTAGCTCACAGTCTGTGAAACAATTGGCCGAGTGTATTGTTGCAACACCCTATGGAGACAAAGGCCTCGGAATTACCTCGAAAAAGGCGCGTGACATCATCAAACTCAAGCCAGGTCCGACCATCTTGTTTTCATATTGCAATCAACATGTGCAGTGAAGACCAAGTTGTGTTCTCAATTGGTTATGTCCTTCAAAGCTTTGTGACAATTTTACATAGACGAGTATATATTTCAAGAGTAGTGTGTCGTTATATCGTGGTAAATACTTGGATGGTCGAAATATTTGCTTTCGGATTTCCGAAAGATTGATCTTTAAACAGGAAGTGATTGCGGGTGATTCAAGGATTTTCGTCCAACCAACAGTTCTCAAGTATTTTTATTTTTCTCAGTTGCGAATGTTGCGTTGGCCAAAATTACTAAGGAGATAGGAGGGATCACTTTTGTTGCTATCATTCTGGATGAAACTACTGATGGCATTAATATCAGTCATAATTCAATAATGGTTCGCTATGTATCAAGAAATGGGACCATTGAAGAACTATTTTTAGTATTTCGGGACGTTTCTTCGGAGAGATCAACAGAAACATTATTTAAAATTGTGTATGAGACTGTAAACGAATTAAATTGTGATTGAAAATTCAATTTTCAGAGTATGAAAGCAGCAAACAAATATAAATACCTTGGTGTACTTTGAGAGACGAATAAGCTTGGGGAGAAACGTGACACGAAGTATAAACTCTGTCTTATGGAACAAAACCATCACTAACACTACTAAAAGACGTCTTTACTCCTCGCTAGTTAAGAGTGTTACAACGTGCGGTTCAGAAGTTTGGGAGATTGATAAAAGAACAAAAGGGAAGCTGCTGGCCCTTGAAATGGACTACTGGCGTAGAAGTTGCTGTTATAGCAGACGTGACAGAATCAGAAACGACGACATAAGAAAGAAAATGGATGTAAAGAAATCTATCCTTGATGAAACAGAGAAAACACAAATCGTCTGGTATGGTCATGTTATGCGAATGACAGACGAAAGATGGCCAAAACACGTCCTGCTTTGGGTGCCGACTGAAAAACAGAAGAGAGGAAGACCCAGACTTGCATGACAGCAGGGAGTGCAAGAGGCTATGACCGCAAGAGAAATGCAAGATGATAAATGATCTAGGTATAGAAAATGGATAGAGAGGAATGGAGACTGAGAGCGGAGAAACGGCGACAGCTGTAGAGCAACCCTGTATGTATGTATGTGTGTGTGTATATATATATATATATATATATATATATATATATATATATATATATATATATACATATACACATGAAAACTCATCGCCCAGAGTTATGATGGTGCTGCAGTGATGTTAAGAGGATTACGGGCTAAAGAAGGAGAAGCGTTTCATTACGTGCTGTTTGTCCGCTGTTGAATTCTTCGACATAAATTGAACTTGGTGTTATCGCAGTCTGCATCATTAATAAAAGAATGTAAAATATTGTGCATGTCACTCAGCGACATTGCTTTTTCTTTTCACAGTCCTCATAACGAACTCACGCACTAGACGCAGGAGTAAAAAAATAATTCCAAAAGCAGCTTTTACACGCTGAAATTGTAACGGCAGATTATTTCAAACAGTATCTGAATATCGGCAAACTCTAATAAGTGTATTTTGGATTACGAAAGTAGCTGGGTTGTCGAAACACTGAACTAATCAAGAGGACGCCTAGCTTTATGGAGGGATCTTTTTACTTTCATTTTTTTTATCGCAAACCCTTTGTGAAGTATTTACTTTAACAGATAATCTGTTTGGTGTAGTGCTGAGCAAGACTAATGACATCAGTTTCTATGCTGAAATAATCGTCAGATTTAGAAATGTAATGTCAGAAAAGAACTGATTTTGTGAAAGTTTGGGAAAACACTGGTATATCGCAGCCAAAAAGTGAAAGATTACGCTGCAGCGAAGGTGATAATACGGAATTATATTATCGCAGACTTTTTATCGAAGTAATTGACTGCGTAGTACAACATTTGGATACAAGATTCAGTAATTTTAGTGCCTTATGGTTTTAGAATTGGGGAAACTTTCAGAGATATTCTTCGGTTCCGTTTCCTGAAGCAGCGTATACTTTTTAATTGAAAATTATAGAGCACGTTCGATGCAGTAGCTTTGCGATCGGAACTTTATGTAATATTGGAGGCATCAGAAGGAAAGTTCACAAACTGGCTTTGATGGTACACTGGTTATAATGCCGGGCTAGTAATCCCAAGTTCGCGCGTTCAAACCCGGTCAAAGTCGGGGAGATTTGTGAGGTGTGAAAAATCGACGGCATGCATGCGGACGCTTGTCGCCATGTAAAACAGATCCCAGGAAAGGCACTTGGCCAATACGTACAAACTTGAATTCTCTAGCAATATAGCACCAATCAGTTTTGATTTGAATTGCTGGATAAGATTGAGGATATTGCATCTTGGCTTGAGCCATCTGGTATTCAAATCAAACGTCAAACGTTTGGTGCACTATCCTAGGTTCGAGTCCCGACGACGGCAGGATTTTGGACACTAGCTTGTCAAGTAGGTCGAATTCATTCGCTGGCTGGAAAATAA